ATATTTAGAAAATGAAAACATTTAATTTTAAACAATCATCAGGCCAAAGGTAGCATGATGATTCTCATAAGCGATAGATTTTAATGAATGTAGTATCCAACTAAAAGAAATTTCATTCTCAAGTGTCGTATCCCTGTTTCTTTATACCTTACTACAATTACACAATGAAAATAATAGTCATTGAAATGAAAAAGTGGATGGTTTGAAAAGTTAACGGATCAAGAAGGGATGGATTGCATTCTAAGGAATGATGGAATGATGGAAAAAAATCTCTTATTAAAATGAGCTTTCTAAGAGAAAAAAGATTCATGCAATAAATACAGTAGCCTCGTGTGTAAGTAATTTTCCACATTTCATATTTTTAAAATAGTTTTTCAATTCTTACCACACAATCAAAGAAAGTTTCGCGCTGCCGCAGTTTGGAGACCTCTGGTCAAGACAGTTGTCAAGTTTTAAAAGCGCTAAAGTGATCCGTTTTCGAGCCAAGCCTTAATGTTTGTTGAGAGTCCCTTAGATGACATAGGGTACTTATCACATGCTTAAGTTGTAAAAATTAAAATAGTACTATCTATGACAGTCTTCGACAAACTAAATATCTATTGAAAAGGTTCATGGAAGAGAATAGTTATATGATCCCTTGGAAACTTTGGATAATATAAAAAAATAGAAACCTTTTGATACTTTTAGTAAATTAAAGAAATATCCGAGTATACACTCCCACTAATGTGCTGGTTCTTCGCTACCAATCAAATAGGTCTAGAAGAAGCACAATATTGGATTAGTATAGGTTCAGGGATAGCTGTTTCGCTTTGTTTAAGTATAGTTGTATGAGGGATGTATGAGGAATGTAGGAGGGGTGTAGGATGGTTGTTTTACAGTGGGACAAGCCAATCACTGAATGAATAAATTGTTACCTTGACAATCGTGCTATAGTTTAAAGGTTTAACAATTGTGTGTGTTGAATAGACTAACTTAATATAAACCTCCTAAATGTGTTAAATTCGAGAAACTTACTTACGAAATGTGTGTTAAATATGACCGCTAGAACACTCAATCCTGTAAAGTGGTGCTAACTTCGTAAATACACGGAGAAGGTTATTGTAAGGTAAAGCCTTTTTAACCAAATAATTCAGCAACTCTGTCTTTTTATTTCACTTTGACATTTTAAAAATAAATCAAAACATAAGCAGACCAATCAAGAATTCACAAACTTTGTTTATAGTACAAACAAAACCTTACTATAACTAATAACTCCGTAGCAATCTGGCAGAGAAAGATTATTTACTATTCATTTAAAATTCGTACTGAACGCTTAACATGATAACGCATTAAGCAGTTAAAACAAGTCGCATGAATACCCCTAATATGTTATAAATGAATGAATATGTTCCGCTGGTTACGCTTAAACATAGAATGAACTTGGGAAAAGGATGTCTAACGTCATCGTTTTCGCTGCTGTATTCCAACAGTTAGTTAATATACACAACAATTAGTTGTGATAAGGATTGCGTTACTAAATTCTATTTAAAATGATATCACAATATTACCTACATTTCGCAAAGCACAGAAAAAAAATAATTATAGAAATAATCGGCAACGTGGCTGGCGATGGGAGTTGATAGCAAGCAACGTAATGTAACTTTTACGACCCTTATGACTATAATGATGGCGGACTGCACGAGGGATAATTGCCGAAGCATTAGCCATCCGCCCGCTCTATCGGCTACTGTTGTTTCCTCTTTTAATCATCCTTTATCACCGCCCTTCCCATAAATCATCCCCCCTCTGTGCCGGAGGACTCGCGGCATAGGGAAACTAGATAACCAGCGGAGAGGTACCTGCAATTACGATCATCGAAATACTTTTTTTACTCTTGCTCGATAATAGAGATAATGTCTCATTAAATTTGAAATGGATCTGTGACTCTGACGTTCTTCAACTGTTTAACACAATTAAAACCCAATTGTGTTCTTTGTAACGACTGACAACTTTACATCTAATTAAAAGGAATCAAATTTATTTTTTTGATAAAACAGTTAGGGAGAATTCTAAATATTTGCAAAAGTTATTTGATGTTTAAAGTTAATAATAATTAACATAATTAAAAGGCTGAGTGAACCCGAAGGTTTGATGCCGATACCACCAATCGCTTTATACATCCATCCATCCAAAGACTGTCATCCAAACCAAACTCCATCAGATCAGTCATAACTCAATCCTTCCATCATCGCTTCGTCTAATCTCTCTGAAGCTTAGCAGTCGGCCCAGGGTATATTAAATTTTAAGAGGATTCTTTCGTAAATAAGCCTAACAGTTTTACACGTCTATTTTATATGCCGCACTGCAATAATCTCAATTATATTAACCAGGTTCAATTCGGCTTTGTGTAACCGTCAGAATTCTCGGGTTGACTCATCCTTCTTCGGTCTGGAATATTTTATACAATACTTTATTTATTTTTTTAAAAAATGGATGAATTAACCGGGAAGTTCAGACAGTTAGACAACGCCGAATTGGGTGGACTGTATCCGGATAATATAATTGAGGGGATTTCATTCCGGCTAATCAAATGGGCCTGTAAAATTGTTGGGCTTAGTAACGAGAGAATTGCTAAAAGGTTAATATTTGCTGTACCGAATAGTAGACGTCCGAGGGGTAGACCGAAGCGAAGGTGGGAAGATTGCATTAAAGCCGATCTGAAGGGACTATGTTAGGACGGCGAACGGTGGAGGGAGGTGTGTAATAAGCGATTGGTGGAGTGGGCATTGAACCTTCGGGTTCACTAGGTATTTATTGTTTATTGTAATTTATTTTAAAAAAACTTTTCGATGTTGGTTATCTCTTAATATAACCAGCCACGTTTCGCATCCATAAAGAAAAGAACATTAGGAAGGATAATCCTGAAAAAAAAAAGCCTGTACCACCTACAACTTATGAAGGGTCTTGGATTCAGTACTTTGGACCAGGATCACGCTCAACCGTCAGATATCCCCTCTTAATTAATTATTTAACTAAGAAAGTATAATGGTTCTGTAAATTATAATGTTTACGTTCCTTGACAGGAGGCGCGAGCTAAGTAGTTTTGCAACAGAAAAAAAAAAAGCATTTTTTCTTGCATTCACATCTAATATTTACTTTCACCCCTGCTATATGTATCACCGAAAACGTCGCAGTTTTTCGCTAACCATATATTTTTTTCTGATTTAAGTTAAACTTTAGATAATACGCGGAAGCTACCATCAAAATATTTTCTTTTGACAGAAACGTTAAGTTCGAAATATGATATAGACTTACATACACATTTTTACGAACTACATATACTGATACCTATTTTTAAAATAGCGATGCACCAAATAAATTTTCTACGTGATCCATAATAAATTTAAGAATATTTCATTGATTATGTGACACGACTATAAAAGAAACAATTAATTAATTATATCTATGCAATACATACCATATCTCGAGAGAAGGTTTCTGAACACGAATAAAGGCGACTATTGACGAACTCGGCCGAAAAAGGGCGATAATAATTAAAAGGAGGGATTGGAGACGCTAATGGTGGTAATTGTCGGGACGAGGGGGCGCAGGGGTGGGTGGGGTGGGGGAGGGGGCGCCCTATCTACACAACGCCTTACTGATCCATATTCACGGGTTCCCATCCCGTCTGGTCTGGTCCGCTTTGTAAACACAGGCGATTAAAAGCATGAGAGTTAGCGAGTTAGTTGCAACGTAACTTAGCATCCTCGTCAATTCGAGATCGTAGCATATTGCTAAATAATTATAAATAAATAATAAATAATTTAAACTGCAGATAGTGTGCTAACCAGAATAATATCTTCTAATGATTTGAAATCAGTACATTACATGTGCAAAACATTATGACAGTTCATAAATCGTATCAATATTAAAAAAATATACTTAAATAATTCAACTAAAAAACGATATTATTTGATTTATAATTAAATTTTAAAAAGTGGTAAATATATTTTATTCTCAACTATTTGGGGATTAGAATCTTGCCCAAAAAAATTATGCCAACGTCTCGAGGCTGAAGTTTCTTGCCTTTATCAGGGAAAGACGCCTTTCACAAACAAATAACAATATATGAAAAAAAAAGTTGTCTAAAAAACTTATCAAAATAGTTCCAAACAGTAGTTTTAAGTTGTTTAGGGGAAATAGTAGTTCCGTATAGAAGTCATAAATAAAAAACTCGTGTAAAAACAATTATCATAAAATTTTCATTTGTCTTTAGAGCACTTTTTTTTCTATTATCACATACCTTGGATTTTTGGTATATGGGGAGAGAGAGGTTTGTTCTAGAGGTGCAAGTAAACTTATTCTTACCAGAAAGGAAGGCTGAGATTCATTCCTTGATCTACCACGAAATAAATCACAATCCGAAAGTTCATGCCGGATTCGAATCTGCATCGCTGGAATTGAGAATGTTTAAGTTTACGCTTTAACACGCTCGGCCACATCGGCCTCTGTGAATAAGGCAGATGATTAATTTAATTTTCATATGAGCCATGATTGACGCTCAGATCTGGGTACATACCAGCCCCATTAAAGTGGATGCCCCCAATTGGGAAAAACTTTATAGTTAAGCACGATTCAAGTCGCCATGAACAACTAATTGCCAGACAGTAACATTGATTGTGGTTTGTAGTTGTAAAGGCTTTAGACAATGCTAAATTTGACCTGTGGATTTTTTACACTGGGCTCTAAAGAATCTAGCCAAGAACAAAAAATATAATTTCATTCATATAAAGGACTTTTTTTGGGTAGATTTCTTTCGTCAATTCCGGTAATCAAGTAAAGATTTCCTTCAACCATTTAAGTAATAAAACCATTATCTCCACAACTCTTTTATATTAACCTTATTATATCGGGAAGGAATCAAATACAGAACCAGACATGTGTCCGTTGAAATACCAGGACAAAAAATTGTAATCCTCCAAAAGGAATAGGGGGAAGGGGGGGAGAAACACCGATCCTGATCATTCCAGCTTGTTAGGCAGGGGAAGGTACCGGAGGAGCATCGATCCGAGTGGTTGAAGGATGCCTGCAATAAGGTGACGCCTGTCCAATAGCCGCGGCTTATTAGGGAGGGTGGCTGAGGCGAGAGATGTATGGCGAGGGTATGCGCGCCGCGGGGTCGATTCTGCTTCCCAAATTGGAAAATGATCTTGTAGCCTTTCTGGGAGTGTCAGCCCTTCCCTCTTCCAATATTTACCAGCCTTTGAACTTTTCAATTCGCGAGGTAGGGGGGTGGGGAGGGTCTTATCTGAGACACCTGTCAATTCCGGAGGCGGCAGTACATTTTAGCCGGCTTTCCAACTCGCTAACAGCTTTACCGCCTCCTTAATATTGAAAGACTCTTGGGGAAAAAGCGGGAAGTGGGAACGAGTGAAACTTGCCATTCCCGAACTTCCGAGGACTCAATAATTATTTTTTAGAAATACGACGGTTTTTTTTTTAATGTAAATCTTATAAACAGAGGATAATAAGTTAAATTCGTTTAAAGCACCAAGCACAACAATGAAATTTTTTTATAACTCAGATTTACAACAGACAAAGAACAGAATTAGTCACTTTCAGGATTTATTTACCACAAAAACATGTGTCGATTGTATAAACAAGATATAAAATTATTAAAAAACTCATATGTTCTTATCCAGTTTCCATTTGTTTGAATTCTATTGGCTAATTACAAACAAACAAAATTCCCCAAAAAACAAAACAAAACAATATGTCATACATCTACTAATAACAAACAATAAAAAAAGTATCTACATTAAGCATACCAGTGAATTGTTAAAATGTATTTGCATTCGGATTAAAATACCTTAGAAAATAAAAATCAGACCTGCATACTATAATCGAAGGAAATGATAATTTTATGTTCTTTATAATGATTTATTAGTCAAAATTGTATCTTAACGTGATGCCGTGTCAGAGAAGCAAAAAGGGAAAAAGGGAACGAATATGGTTGAACATATGGATTAAAATATCTCAGAAACTAAAAATGGGACCTACATACTGTAACTTTTTTTATTTTTTTTTTTATTTAGACATATAATATTCTGTCACAGGGACAATAATTATATTGATAAATGAGCAAATTCACACCGTATATACAAAAAAATAAAATAAAATTAACAAAAGTAAAATAATAACTAAATAATAATAAATAAAAACTATATACAATAAAAAAATAAATAAAATAACCTAAATACAAGTAAATTAAAAACATAAAAACAGTCACACCTATACACAATATATACAATCAGGCGGGGAACCCAAATCCCCGCGCTACTCTCTCAACCGCCTCACCGGTGCTAAAGCCGGTGGAGTTTGAGCGAGAGCGCTTAGCCAACGAGAGCGCTTAGCCACATACTGTAACTGAAGGAAATATTCAACATTTCATCCTCTTTATAATGAGCTATTATTTAAAATTGTATCTTAACACAACAGCGTGTTAGAATGAACAAAGGGAAATAAATTGGCGTGCCTGAAGTAGAAAAGAGCCAATTTTAAGATTAAATTTTGCCATGAATCGAAGAGCGCAAAAACTCTATAAAATTTTATAAATATTGGATTGGGATATTATGGGACACATCCAAAACTTGATGACAAACAAGCAAATGCCAGTAATAAATTACCAATCGGCGTTTCGTTAATTCAGGAATGATCAAGGAAAGAAAAATGACATATAATTACTATGATCATGTGATCACTAGATAAGTTACTTTAAGATTGTTGTGAAATTTGGTATATTTGAACTATTTTTTTAAGATTTTATCTTTTTCTGTCCACATTCGAAACATTCACGGGCTAGTTATTTGCTGCTATTTGAGTGGCTTTAGGTTTTTGAACCTTTCAATATCCTAAATTAAACATTATCGTTTGGTGGATACGAGAAAGGAGTGGAGTGAAATATTTATAAATGAAATTACAAATTCAAAAAAACATATGAAGCTTTTTCAAAACTACAAACGGACTGGACTTCTACTATGTTTTCCTTTGGTGTTTGATTAGTTGATATTTAAATTACACATGTTAAATATTAATTCTATGAATTAATTCTATTCCGTGTAATTACAAAAGGAAGAGGAAAAAAAGGAAGATGTAAACGATTTATCAATTTAAGTCTTCAAATTTTCGTAAAAATGTCACGTTTTCAGCGTAGGACGGGATCTTGTAATTAACAACGACTTTAATTTAGAAACCCACGCGGCGAGGGTCATATTACCATTAAGGAGACCTCTCTCTGACCGGAATTCAGATTAACCCAACGCAATTAAGTATCTGAAATCCACCATGCAAGGGGGAATTAAATTAAATAGGTATAACCAGCTATGGAGAGGAGAAAATGTACGTATATCACTTAAGGAGTTAAAAAATTGGTCGGTTCTGTCTAATTGAATTTAAATAGATATACATTATTTTGTTGTATGTAAATATATATGTGTATGTTTAGAATACAGAAGGAGGATCTCGACTGTTTACAAATTTGAAAGACAGCCTCGAAAAGCGTATACAAAGATACACATTCCTCACATATCTCCACTTAAGTCGTTATGTTTTTTTTTACGGTTGGGAGAGGTAGAGAATGCTGCGCCGCAAGAGGAAAGCCATCCTGACAAACCTGATAATATATTTAAGGAGGGAAACATCCCGAGGGGGAAATGTTAGGGAAGCGGGTAAGTCTTTGACCAGTGCAGAATACCGAGCAAGGAATACAAATGCAAAGTAAAGGTACCTGATCCATCCATGGAAAACTTACGTTCTAATTATAAAGATTATTTTCAGTGAAGCTAGAAAAAAAGGCAGATTTTTTAAGATAGTTTTACAGCTAACTATGTAAATAAAAAGAAACTGCCTAGTTCAAAATAAATTTTTCCAAAAAAATAAATACTATTTTTTTATTGGACATAAAAAAAAATTTTATCCAACATCAACATGAAAGATACTCTAAAATTTATTAAAATATTCTGGGAAAGACTTTGCAATTAAATTATGATATGGACCAAGATGCTTTTTAGATGATTTTTTTTCGTCAGGCAATAACGTCATTTGTTTATTGAAAAATTATTTTTTTTTAAAATTCATCGATGACTTTTTTGGGAGAGGGGCTAAACATTTATTCGCCCTCAACCACAGATATTCCAACTAAGTTTGGTCGATGAATTCTTGTCCAAACTTACAATTAGTGATTTTGACACAGTGCAATACGAGTGAATCTAGGCAAATATTTATATAATTTTAAATATTATACTATAGAACTTAAATAAGGTCCAATAGTTTTATAACTATTTTTATTTGAATTTGCAATATAATATGGCTCGAATCTCATAAATAACCTTCAATGTTTGTGCAGTTGTGTGCGATACACAGGTTAGTGTTGCCCAAATGCAAGACCAAGACCAATCTAACAACAAAAATAACACAATCGAATTAGACTGATTTCACTGATAACTGATCAGAGAAATCATTAGAGTACGATTTATTTGATGAACTGAATCAATATAAACAGGCAAGTGAACAATAAATACACTGTAACGTTGCTAAAACTGTTACGATTTAAACGATTTTTTAAAAAGTTTCTTCGGAAATTTAATACATTTTAAAAACATGTTGTCACTACATATATAGAGATATTATTTTCATGTTTCAGAGTGGGAAAACCTAACTAAACTCGCAATGAAGAATTGGAAGAGTTAAATGCAAAAGTATATTGGTTCTACCAATTCTTTACATAGTAACTGAAATTGTCTAGTAATAGAAACTAAAAATAATGTTTGTTTTTCCATCTGTCTTGGTCTTACAACAATTAGGCGGTCTTGGTCTTCTTGGTTTTGGTCAATAATAATACAGGGTGTCCCGTAAGTAGAGGCAGATATTTAAAGGGGCGATAGTAGACTTCAAGAACTACAAATACATTTTTAAAAAATTGAATATCTAACAGTTGAACGTTGCATTATAAAGGAAGGAGATAGTCCGAGGTGGCAGTCATAAATAGGCTAAATAGTGGCAAAACGATTTTATTAAAAGCCAACGTTTCGCCACGACTTTGCAGGTCTGCTTTAGGACCAGAACGGACAAGATACAAAAAGATAGAGAATTGTAGAAGTTACATAATATTATGACAAAAAATTATAAACAATGTGAATAACCTTATTAAAATTATAAACAGTAAGTACATTAAAATGTAAAAAGAATAAGCTAAGTAACAAGATCCTAAACTGAAGTAAATAGTAAATATCCTTATAAACCTGAAGTATATATCCTTTTTCCTTTTCTTTCAATCTCTCCTGTAGATATACAGAAGTATATTCACATTTGCGTATATTATATATTACACTACAACAATTGTTACCACCTATTTACTTCAGTTTAGGATCTTGTTACTTAGCTTACTATGTTTATATTTTAATGTACTTACTGTTTATAATTTTAATAAGCTTATTCACATTATTTATAATTTTTTGTCTAAATATTATGTAACTTCCACAATTCGTTACCTTGTTGTATGTTGTCCGTTCTACCCCTGAAGAAGACCTGCGAAGTCGGGTCGAAACGTTGGCTTTTAATGAAATAGTTTTGCCACTATTTAGCCTATTTATGACCGCCACCCCGGACCATCTCCTTCCTTCATTTTAAAAAAATAAAATATGTATACATATATGGATACTCACTCGTCGTAGAACTCGAGAGAGAGGCTTATCTGGTCGTCCGGAGAGTAGATGAGCCGGTCCAATCCGACACCGCGACACTCCGGCTCCAGGTGTTCGTCTGCAACAGATCACATCGTCAGCACCACCTGCTCCCCCTTATCTAAGCTACTTCTCATATTATCGCCACATTAACGTCGTCATCGTTGTCGCCTCTATGGGCTTCCCAGGCGAGTTTATGAACCCATAAACCAAACTTTCCTATAAGCTCAGGGGGAGTGAGAATGCAAGAGACTTCAGACAACAGACAGTTTAGTCTGATTCGAGTTGAGTGCGCCCAAGAACACGTTTTATAAACTACAGGTTAACTTCATCTAGCAATAAAAATTAAAATAAATAATCCGAAATAATAATTCCGAAAAAGATTTACCGACTCAAAAGACTCTGGAGTGCGCACTCCATTTAATCTTAAAAATAGTCAAACTGAATACTCGGGAAATGAAAATTCTCACACTCTAAAAAATGTGAATCATATTTAATATTGTATTTGTTTAATGTAAAAAAAAATGGAGTAGCTATAATAAAAAATAAAAATAAAATAAACCAGAATAATTACCCCGATAAGGATGGTCTTTGTAGAAGTCCCTTCGCCTCTGCATTTCATTGTGAAACAATCCTGGGACTAGCTTGTAAACTATGTCTTGTAAAGTTTTATCTGGCCTAGAAAAAAAGAAAAGTAAACAATCATTCGATATCAATAAATATCTTAAAACATATTATTATTAAATTCATTCTTTAAAAATAATAATTTAAAAACTTATAAATTACCTTAAACTTCTATATAATTTCGTGTTATGTACGTGTGTTTCGCATATCGGGCATATACTTTTTCGTTCCAACTGTCTAAATATGCAGCTCCGGCAAACTGTGAATATAAAAAACAAATATAAATTATAAAATAGTTTTAAATAATTAATAAATATTAAATCATTATTCGTAACGTCAAATCAGTCTGATTGAAAACTCTGCAGAAGGCAATTTCAATTCTTATATTATTTTAATCAAATTAGGTTTACGTGAACCTTGAACAACTAAAGTTGAATGGCTGAAAAAAAATCTAGTCATTTCTAAACTAATTTTTAAGTTTTTAAAATAAATCATATGTTACCCAATTTCTTTTTATCTTTAGAGAAAGTAAGCCTGTTGCCTACGTATATATGCTAATACCGAATTTGCGACGTTACCATAACTAAATTTATGAGTTTCTGAAAAATAATTTTCATTATTAAATAAGATTACTACATGCACATATTTTTATCTTATTTTTATTTTCCACCGTTAATCTCAATCAATGATATAGTTGACGAGTTGTTTTTTATCAGAAGATTTTTCAGAAGGCTGAATTGTCGAATCGAAATACATAATGTTGGACATGGTAGTCTTGCCTGTAGTACCCCTGCTTTAACACACTCGATAATTCAGTTAAGAGAGTTAATATTTGTATCCACATTTTCTATAAGTAATCTTTGATAGTAAATATTAATTTTCTTGTATTATACAAAACGACCTGATGTTCACGTGAGCTTATGAGTTCATGGCAGTACCACTTATGTCACAACTTAATCCTAGATCATCTTAGGCCGAATAGTGACTATATGAAAACTAAAATATTAAGTACAGGTTTTTCTACAATATATTTGGCACATTAAGATATACAATATTGAAGACTTAAGTCTCTCATGTCATCTGTACGTGAACTGCATAACAATGTCCACGCAAAATTCAGTTTTACCAGCCGATGAATTCAGTTGGCTTAGGACAATAGCTGAGGACTGACAGGCAAAGGTATACTATTGTATACCTTGGCTTTTCACGTTGCGGTGCATATAGGCCGGAAGAAAAGAAAAAAGAAGTCAAGGCACTGAAAGCTTAAAACTTAAATTATTTTGGATCCTGTTTGAAGATCCATTTATTGGTTCTGTAGGATGGTATAGTCTTCAATGGTTAACCCCAGTAGTTTAAAGGTCTACCTCACCCTAAGACTGAGGTGCAAGGATTTAATATGTTGATCAAGGAGACAGGAAGAAAGGTGGATGACAGTTGTTAAACGAAGCTGTTGAATATTCAAGAGGACATGGCCTGAATGAAATTAACGAGACCAAATTAATTATGTAAGAGCATTAGTGAGGTGTAGGAAAGAGGCGGTCTCGGTAGAAGAGGCCTGGGAGCTGTGATTGACTGGAGCCAACGGCTTCGAAATTTAATTAGCGCCGAAAGTAGTGGCATTAGGAGCTCCCTGATGAGTGTGGGAGGGGAGGGAGTATCGGAGGGGGAGGGGAATTCCAGCACTGGAGGCCAACTCCCACCTTTTTTTCCGCTCTTACAGCAAGCAGTTTTTCAGTTAAGTTCCACCTTTAACTGAAAAAAAAACTACCTTGACAATGTTTACAATAACGTTAGTTCTAACGGGGAACTCATGGAATGAATCCTTTCCACTCTTGTTAAAAAATGTTTGATTATACGTCTAACACCTTCCCTCCTCTTCTCCGGATATCAGAAATAGACAAGAGGTAAACGGAAATAAAAAATGTTAGATAAAATATCAGCTCTTGATTTCAAATAGTCTTTCAATTTTTTATTATGTTTATTAAAAATGATCACTCCCTCACTCTCTCAATATATGAAGTAATACGTTCAAAATTAGGAAGAATCCGAAAATCAATGCTACTATATTTCTATATTTATTATTGAAGTCAGAAGACATCCAAGTATGAACCTCGAAACCCGACATTACCGCCCAACATTTAATCTCAACATGCTAGCTGAAAACTGCAAAGTTTGGATTTTGGTGCCAAAATAGGCTGCAAAGAGTTTGATGAAATTCTTCTTGAAGCCTTTAAAATCGGTTTTCATATAGTATACTTCCTCGAAATGAAGTTGAAAACAATTTTACGATTAATGTAACAAAATTTTATTCCTAAATAATACTAATTTTACACACATTTTGCTGATTTTTATAAGTAATTTTTTTAAAGGTAGTTAAGTTTCCTAAACAGAAAAAAAAAAAAAATCAATGAATTAAGAGTAGTACAACCAAATATATACTTCTTATTTTTCTTTTTTTAGGAAGCCTACGTTTATACATTTTTCCAAGGTTATGGCAAAAAATACTTACTGTAATGTAAGTAATGGAACTGGAGATAGCCACCAGATGTTGGTTGGTGTAACTAATGAACAAGAAATGAATGTGTAATACCAAAAACATATTAAATAGATATGACAATTATTGATTTTTTGACAACTGGTGCCACATCACAAAAGCAAGCAAACATAAGAAGACTCTGATGATGGGAAAATTGTCCCGAAACGTAAGATATAACAGATGTAATTAAGAGGATTGAAGAAAAATGGAAGTATTTTTTCCTTAACCGTGGACAAATATATACAGTTGTGAACATGTATTTAGTTTATTATTTTAAATAATAAACCTTTGTATTCGAACGCAAAAAAAAAAAAAAAATTAATAAACCAGCCCCTCTAAAAAATTGGAAGACCTTCGTTTCAAGATACGGCAACCTGTGGCTTTCCTCCGAGAATATTGATCGATCTTTATGACTTTGGTCCAATATCCCAAAATTCAACCGAGTATGTTCTCAGAATTCGACATAATGATCCACTACTTTTGGAACATATTAATTGTCATACAAAATTATTAATAATTAGTGCATTTGATGAAGAATACAGAATCTCGCAGTAGACTTGGTTCACGAGAAAACGTTATCAAGAAGCGACGACGTAAGAACATTAAATAAACATCTTGAGTTGTTCAGTCCTTATCTGGACGCGGTATCGGGTACTCTCTACGTCACGTCAAGTTCTCAGAAGCGTTCGCACCGTGCGGAATCAGAAGTGTGATCTTGTAAAGGAGGAGTAAATGCTTTAACAGCGACAGCTCAGAGCTTGTTAGCAACAGATAAGACGGCTCCTGCAATGAAAGGTCTAAGAAGGTGTAATCAGATGGTTATCGCCGTAATTAGGTAGCCATCAGCGAATCCAGCGAGGGAGGGGAGGGAACCTATGACTGATGTGTTTACGTTACTTTTCAAGGGTCGTTCCTTCTGTCTCGCTCCAACTCCAGCTAAAGTATCGATTTTACGGTCAGAGTTTCCGGCAAGCCTCTCCGGAGCAGAACCGGCTATCGATTCTGCCCTATCGATTCTATCGTGGTAGTTGACCATCGAGGTCCGAAATGTAGGGCATTTGAATATCGAACAAAAGTTCTTTATGAAAGAAAAAAACTACAGATATTTAGAACAAGACCATTCAGAGTTAAGAACTAGATCATAGATGGGGAACCTTTTATCGCTAGAGGCCGCATTTCAATTAGGCAATGCTCTTTGGTTACCCTTACCTTCTAGTTCGTAACCTTTCATCCAAAGCAATTCTTGACAACCCTCCGAGGAGTCTGAAAAGAAGATGGCCAAGGGACATGATAAATTAATTTTATCTTTGAAGTGCTACCAATGGATAGTTTCTTTACAAGTTTTAATTATCGTATTTTAACAGATTTACTTATTTGTGTATACAATCGTAAATATAAAAAAAAAAGGTTAGGCAGTGACAATGGAGGCCACTTTATGTCTTTATACTTTATTTATAATCAAATACATACATCATCCAAAATAGTTTAAATGTCTTAGGAACATGATTTGCCAGTCAATCTAAAAGTCGGTAATTACCCAGGATAAATAGCGTATATAATTTTTTTTTTCAAAATTGAGAATTATCATATTCTTACCCCTAGTTATTTAATTGCATTGATTTTTGAATTTTCGCAATCTAAATAAATATTAATTAATTCTGCCGCTAGATTAATTAAGACCGCGCGAAAACAATCGGAGGCTGCACGTTTACCACAATGGACTATACTGTTGTGGACGTCTAATAATAACAACAAATAAGCGTAGGATTATGGATTAGCACAAAATATTTCAGCAACACACGCAATGTTTCTAGAGTCAAAAAAATAAAACATCTTTGCTCTTTTAGGTGTAATGGTTTTTTCAAGATGTGACCAATTTGGTGTTCGTTTTTGGCTCCTAAAAAAAGATATTGAAAACGTATTTTTAAGGAAATCGAAAAATAAAAAATTGTATGCAGACAATTCTGGTCTAAACTGGATTTTCCGAAAGTTTTCTTGGTTCCGCACAAATTGTAATAAATCTATGGCGATTCAACTTAAAAAAATAATAAGGATTTAGGGCTTCATGGTCTCCACGAAATGGCACCAAAACGCACACTCTGTAAACAAATCAGAATCAAAAATATAACATAAAAATGCTTCTAAATTTATTGATAAGGATTGGAAAAGCCAATTAAATTTTTCAACATTGGATTTGGAGAAAATCATGAGGAGTTAAAATGTTTTAATAAACGGCCAGGGAAAACTTCTTCAAGAAAATTAAGGACTAAAATTTGATTTTTATTTCTATAAAAATGATATTTAAAAGATACTAACAGAGCATCTACTTTACCGGTAAGGTTTTTTGGTATTTGTAATTGTTGATATATTACAACTCATTTAATACTATAATAAATATTTTTTCTTATCAGGCACAAAAAAAGAAACAGATTGGTATGTGTTAAGCAAGAAATCCGGACATCGGCTCCTTAAGCCCATTGAAATAAAAATCAGGACATGTATCTAATATTTTTTCGATGTAAAATCACAAAAAAAATTTTTTTGTAATCGGTGACCGATTGACTGTGACCTAACTATTAGAAAGAGAAATATTACTCAAGCTGATTCGTAATTACATTTTTTTTTTTTTTTTTTTTATAGTGTACAGTAATTATATTTCAGAGATTTATGATTAATTATATTTTTGGTATTGAGGCCTGAAAAGTGATTAATTGCACTGACAGGGGTACTAGGTACTCAGCACCGCAGGTACATCGGCAGAGGGGGCGATTGCTTGCCTGACACAACAGGCGAGACGTATAAGACCATAATAGGTATCGAAAAGGATACAAAAAAAAAATTAGCAGCTTGGCATAGGCAATGTATGGGACAGCTGAGCTACATAATCCAAGATGGCAGGGGGAACACATGGCCAGGAGCTATTGTGCTGACACCTGTCCATAACGTGAGAGGGAGGCTAAATATATGTAATTTAGGCAGCGTTTCACCTGTGTTTGTTAGTGCATCGTTGAACCTAGTAGATGAGGGAAATCATAGGGTGCCCCTTGCCTTCTATTGTTTTCGAAACAAGGCAGTAACTATTCTTCCGCAGAATAGACTTGTTCTGTTGTTCATGTCGTCATAGAATAAACGACGGGTTTTGTTGTCATTGTGGAAAGAAACCAAGCTAAATAAAATAAATTTTAAGAAAACGTAAATAAATATAAATGAAGAAATGGAAGGAAGTGGTGTTCTATTGGAAATATTTGGACATAAAATAAGTCATACTATTCTTTCCACTTTAAGGACTTTTTTTATCTTATTAAAAATGGACTCATTTTCAAATAAAAATTAAGCTATTCCCTTCACCAAAACCTCTAAAATACAGTGATATTATACTATATCATAATATAATCTTATAACATATTAATATATGATTTCTTATATAATATTTCTATATAACAGAAGAAATCAAAGATATAACAGAAGAAATCAAACAACCCTAACGGTTATCGTACGAGACACCACAAGTAAGTTCACACAGTAAAAGTTTTTATTAAATTATATTTTATTTACCAGGTTGCTATATGCAAGATCTCCGGATATATCTTAGCCAATTCTGAAGTGATATTCTAAAAACAATCGCGCCATTAAGCAGTCAATTTTTTTTTTTTTTTTCTTTCAAAACTATGAATACCGTTGGTTGGTGGTACCCCGTGAAAATTCCATCACTTCATACAACGTCACAATTTTAATATATTGTGACCAGGATGTTTTTTTTTTTTTTTATATTAGTTGTAATTACAACTTTTATCCTGACATTAAAACTGAACAGAGAAACATTGTTCAAGTCTTCTTGTAACCAAATTAAGCAAATAAAACAAAATCATTCAATGGAATCAACGAATCAAAAGAAATAGGTTATGCGATTTCTATGATAGCGACTGTATATATACACTTTATAATATCGTTATTTTGACATCTTTTGTTTAGAAGATAAACAAAATAAAATACTTCGGACAAACTGAATCCATAGCATTGAATGGGGAAAAAAAAGTTAGATCTATTTATAGTAAATTCATAAACATTTTTTTTTTTACTAACG